AAAAAGCAGCATTGTTGACGTACATACCCCGGGTCCTGTGCAAATGCAGCAAACGGCCCAAGTCTGGAAATACTGGGCGGGCCAACTGTAAAGGGCCCAGGCCCTCAACTGCACAGGCACAGGCACTAGGGCCTGACTGGAAGCTACTGGAAGATTCCCAGGCAGGCCAAACACAGCCAAACAGAGGCTGCCACTTCCATATAGGGAAGGAGGCAGCCAGGGTCAGGCATTTTGGCCCACGCAGGCAATGCGGTCACGCTGCTGCGTTGTTGCGTGAGATGCTGCGTGCTGCGTGAGTTGCCAGGGGGCATATGGGCGCTTGTGAGGTGAGAGGGGCGCTGCTGGGCAGCGGAGCGCAGGCAGCCATAGCCGGGCTGCAGGGCGCGAGGGGGTAAGGGGCGATCGGTGGTCTTCAGGAAGGAGGCGACTGTGGGTGGTCAGGGTCTGATGACGGGAGACGAGATACGTACCTGGTGCATGAGGGAGGTCGGCTGTGGTGTTGACGTCATGTACACTGGTCTTCAAATTCGAAGTCAACCTTTTTCGTGAATGCAGATGTAGTAGGATAGGCAAGTAGTGTAGGCTGGGCGCTGGGCGCCAGACAGAGAGGAACGACATTGGATGCTGTGTTGGTGTGGCCTGAGGGCTTGAACATTGGCTCATGAGTTCATTGTATCGCTCTTATTTGGATGGAATCTCGGTGCATTTGTGCTCTGTGCTTGTACACGACAACTTGGACATCTGTGTGATTTCGCAACTTGGCTTTCTGTATATCGTTCTCACTCATATTCCTGGCAGTTGATTCATTCCCCCGCCTGCTCATCCTGTCGATGGAAGTACTGTGAAGCCAGCCGCGAGGCTGCAGACTTACCTCAAATACCACCAAGGTGGAGCCACGTGGAAGGAATATGGGCGAGAGAGATATACAGAAAACCAACTTGCAAAATCACGCAGAAGTCCAAATAGTCATGTAACAAGCAGAGAGCTCCAGTGCACCAAGATTCCATCCAAATAATAGTGAAACAGTGAACTCGTGAGCCAATGTCCAAGCCCTCAGGCCACACCAACGCAGTACTCATTCCCCCTACCTAGCACGCACCTGCACGCGCACTCTCCCGCCCAACCTAACCCCGTCTCCCCTGGGGCCTGGACCCACTACCGAAGTATTCTACGACGTGTGACACAGTTTTATGGTTTTTTGGAAAATACAAAGTGATTTTTTTTTTGCATGAATGGATCTTTTTCTGATTTAAAATGAATTGAAATAGCATATAAAACTATGAAGAACAGCTGTGCACCCGAATTCATGGGTTGGTACGATCTCCTTCACGTAATGTACCGTGGCAATAAAATGTGTCCCCGAACACAGCCACGAGGATGAACAAGTAATGGCTATAGGGATACATTCATCCCCATGTATCTCATGATGCCTCTAACAGGCCATCCGACAGACGCGGAAGAGTTCCTGTCAGTTTGGCATGCTTTAAGTCCCTACTTAGCATGACCCTTGCCTCCTCACAGCCCCTCGTTGAGGCTACTGTCTTGTCTGCCCCTCTGAGAAGCTTCCCTTGATTAGACTGACACCTTGTTATCGTCCCTGGGATGCCCCATTCCTGCACTCTTACTCCCCCTGCCTGGTCTGATCCCAAGACCCTCCACACTCAGCCCTGCGCCTCGTGCGAAAAAACCCAGGATCCCTCTCGTTGCTCTGATGTCCCTTTTAGCTGTTCTGCCTATTCTCTTGGCAGTGCTGCCCTCAAGGAAGTTGGGGGAGGTAACCAGCTTCCAAGTGGATCCGGCGGTTAAAAGTTGGCCATTGGCCAAGAAACAACATCAAGAGATGGTACCCTTCACACAGTATAGTACTCAGATTGGGTCTGGCATCCTCCGCTCTTCAGTCAAAAAAAAACCTGAGATATTGGCCAGTAAAAGACTGGATCAAATTAAGAATGGCCTGGCAATCCAACCAGATTGGAAAGGCTTTTGGAGAGCTCTTGTATTGATGCCCTCTCAGAAAGCTGCCAGCCTAGTATGGCTCCAATCCTTGTTGGTAGTGGCTTCTGCGCTGTGGCTCTCCCAAAAAGGAATGGACCTCTCAATCACCTGTAACCGATGTGAGTGGGGTTGGGAATCCAACGCCCACTTATGGTTGTTCTGTCCGTTGTCTGATGAATTGTGGATGTGGTGGGTGAAGCATTGGGACTTGATCACCGACCAGAGTTGGCCATGGACAGACGACTGGATATTGTATGGAATTCTTCCACTGCAGTAGACTTCTCTGAAGGAGGGATGGGGATACATTGCAATGGTCTGCAGGGGGATCATCCTTCAAGAGATATGGAGAGCCAGAAATTCCCTGGTATTTAAGAGTTTAAAGATCTCCACTCAGGAACAACAACAGCAAGTACGCCTGAGCATAAGACAGATGATAATGGCGGACTGACAGACAAGCTTCAGAAGCAGAAAGAAGGGGCATCTGTGGGTTTTAAGGACATGGGCGAGGGGTAACCAGTTGTCAGCAGTGACACATGATAAGAGGCTGGTTATCTCTCGTTGGCTCAAGCGACCCTGAAGTTTGCTTCCTAACAATAAGAGTAAGAGGCCGCTTTTGGCCGCCCACAGGAGACGAAATTCAACAAGATTCCTGAATTGCTAAGTTGCTTTCGATCTTCAAGGTATTTTTATAAAGCTTCAAGGTTAATTTTGGAAAGCTGATAGCTTCAGGATGGGACGCTGGATCCGGTTCCCAGCAGTGGGATTGTTAGTCTTTGAATAGCTTTTGGTTGAGTTGGGTTTGTAAGCTAAACTGGCTGAGGCTGCCAGGATAACTCCGGGTCGAATGGCTCAAAAACGGGGGCGCGGCGGTCGGCGCCTGGAGCACCCAAGTTAGCGCTAGTAGTTTACGCTGCTCTGGTCCTTCGCATAGCGCACCGCCATGATGCTCTGGCGATTGTGTAGCCTTCTCTCTCGGTAATTTCCGAGAAACTAACCCGCATGGGAAGGGAGGTAGGTGGCACACGGACCAGCCTTTCAGATAGTCGCGATATTTACATGAGAGAGTTGAAGCTTTGCTTGGGCATGCGCCCTCTCAGAGGCGCCCGCCATTGACGCGGAACCGTAGGTAGAGATAGGACAAGAGTCTAAGCCTTAGATTGGATTTTCTGCTGGGAACGTAGGAACAAGCTGGGGAAGATGGAACAGGATAACCGCCAAGCGAGGCCGGAGGCAAACGAGGTGCCGATGTCGGAGGAAGATAGGATCAGGCTCCTAATAGCAAAGTGCTATGAAGACGGGGTGTTCCCAGAGAATTTACGACACGGAGAGTTTGTAATTGAAAATGGGACCCGTATCTTCAAAGTCAACACGCAAATAGACAAGTTAACGACGACTTGGCTAAAGGAGAGGACGGTGACGGTGATCTTTCAAGGCGAAGCGAGGGATCTGCCGATGAGAACCAGAGAAGACTTGATTCGGGCGTATGAAAATGGGTGGCAGAGGAAGAAGACGTTTGCGAGAGGTTTTAAAAGGGGAAGAGTTCATGGGGAAGGACCGAATGTGATGTCGTACGTGGCGAAGTCTAGGGAGGTGGCACAGTGGTTAGTAGCGAAGGTGGATGATGTGGTGATAATTAGAGGGGTTGAATATAAGATGTTGTTTAAAGCATGGATGACAAGGGCGGAACTAGAGGAGCAGAGAAGAAGGGATGTCGAAACGAAGTTCTGGGTGGTTGCCTTGAGAGTGCCGCTCCGCGCCATGTTCCATGTGGGAGACCTGGTAACACAAGCCATGGGCCAAATCATCACTCGACACCCCCGAGAGCCGGATGCTACCAGACCTAAACTCATGAGCTTGAAGTTCGAGCTCGCAAGAGAAGCTGCAGAGAAGTTCGAAGCAATTCTCCCAATGAAACTGGACGATGGTGAGCTATATAACGTACAATTTGTCAACAAAAACACGTCGTGGTGTACTCGTTGTAAATGGTGGTTTCACACGGATTTCGATGGCTGCCCAAGAGCCGAAGAAGCAGTGCCAGGGGAGCAGGAAACACTTGGAGGAAGATCACGGAGGCCACATCAGGGCGAGGTGGTCTATGATCGAGGAATCAGGACGGCGGTCAGGGATCAACTCAACGTTACACCAAGCGGAGGCGAATCCAGCGCAGCGGCGGAGAGAAGACTCGGGGGCCCCATGCAGCCGGCATATAGACAGGGGGATCGAACAGCAGCGCCGACAAGTGATATCTCAATTAGGCCACAGGGCCTGGTGCAGGGCGTAGGAGATCCATACCAGCTTGCGACTGCAGATCAAGTGAGACGACTAGACGCCCGGGTGGGTGCATGGGCTTCCAACCCCGGAGCCAGCGATCCTTACCTGGCAGCTATGATGGGTTCACACATGTGGCTGCAGCCGCAAGGGGGGGGTGCTAGATACGGCCAGTGGACGAACCCTGCTCTCAGCGGCTTCCAAGGAGGGAATCAATATTACTCTCCAGGCCCGTCCCTTGGTCAGAGATATGATCACTCAACCTTCTCTAGACCAGTCCAGGAGGCCTTACGTCCTCTTTCAGGGGCGGTAGAGATAGTGGTGGGAGTGGACGGAGAGGGGCAAGAAAGGAATCAGCTCATCACAGTCAATGGACACGGAGCTACCTCAGTACAAGAACGAAGTGCGGCACCTCATAGCGAGGGAGAAGATGACGTCAGCAAACCAAACTCAATCCCGAACGGAGTGAGTACAAGGGACGTAGGTGAGCAACAGTTTGAGGAGAAAGTTTTGCTCCCGTTAATCTGCACCCTCCTTGGGCAGGAACCGTACATTCTTGGCCTTGTAAATAGAGAAGGGGGCACCGTTCTTCCATCCACATCGTTCTGTGGCATCCCCACCCCTGAGTTGATTGAGGCTAGAGTGAGGCAGATCTTCGCAGATCGATTCTGTTTCAGGATATTCCTAGGAGAGATTATGCCCAAGCTGACGGTGGACACGCCAACAGGGAAGCGGATTAAGTTTTTTATCCCCTTGATTGACGCACGAATTCCGATGCAACACTGGGCAGGCTTACCTTCGGTGGGCTTAACCTGTATTCCACTTCGGCTCCTGCTAGGTACTCCAGGAGATGAGTTAGATAGCGTTTTGGTAGAACCAGGAATTTCAGCTGCCTTTCTTAGAGCATTAAATGAGCATATGCCGTTGAACCGAAATCTGCTATCGGAGTTCATTCCTGAGGTTCTGGCAGAGATATGGCAAAGTATTAGTCCGTCTCAGGAGAGGGAGGGTACTGAGCAGACGGAGCAGGGGCGGATCCAAGACGGGAACGCAACAGTGAACACCGGAGATGGGGAGTTTTAGAATAGGTACATGGAACGTGAAAGGCTTGGGGGACACCGGAGGGAAACAGAAAGGGAAGAGGTTGAAGAGGTGGATCCAGGAGAGAAAAGTGGACATCATGTTTCTCCAGGAGACAAAGTTATCAGAAGCAAAGCTTGTCCAATTGGCTGACTGGTGGGATGGCCCCCAACTTTGGGCCCCAGCACGAGGCTCAAAGGGAGGGACAGCTATCCTAGTGCAAAAGAGTCTAGAGGCAGAGCTAGTGGACTATGAGGCAGACTTATGGGGAAGGTGGGTGTGGTTAAAACTACTAGTTGAGGATATTGAAATGGTAGTAGCCACTGTTTACGCACCAAATGAACCAAGGGACAGATTGTTATTTATCAAATCCCTCCCCTATTGTCTCCCAAGGTCAGATAATATGGTAATAGGGGGGGATTGGAATTTGGTGAGCAGCCCAGGACTGGACTCAGAGGCCGAAGAGGGCTTGAAAAAGGATAGAGAAGCTTTCCTTTTGTGGAGGGAAGCCTGGGGTCTAACAGATATTTTTAGGGAGTGAAATCCCTTAACTCTAGACTTCACCTGGTTCTCAAATTCGGCGGCTGCAGCAGGAGCAAGGCGGAGGTTGGACTTTTTCCTGACTTTCGGGTGCTTCACTCAGCAAACAGTAGCTGTCCAGTCGTTCAATGCAGGGATGTCAGACCACAAGGCAGTTAGATTGGAAGCCAGACTGTCAAGGCACACAGATGCTAGAGGCCCTGGCTACTTTAGACTGAACACAGTCAACCTGGAGGATGAGGGATGGAAGGATTGGACCACCCAACATTGGAGAGCGTGGAGGATGGCAAGGGGAGCCTTTGACTCTTTTGAAGACTGGTGTGACGCTGGCCTGCGGATCATTTCCGCCAAGTTCGAGACCTTCTCAGTGATTGCAGCGTATTCGAGGAACAAAGAAGAAAGCAGGCTGGAAGCAAGAGTAGACGAGGCAGAGAGAAACATGAGGGGTCACCCAATTTCGGAACTAGCATGGGCAGAGGAGAGGGAGACCAGAGCGAGGGAGTGGGAGCAGCAACAGGTAATTAAACAGTCCAGGTGGGAGTCGATTCTGCAGGAGAAGGGAGTGGTCACACGGGACAGGATGACAAAAGAGTGCTTCCAGAGGCTCCTACCAAGCTGCAACAGAGTTCAAATGTCAGAGCTCCAACATCCTCATTTGTTGGGCTTACCAGCAGCACACACCAATGAGGACATGTGTGAGTACGCAGCTGACTACTTCAGGGACATCACGACGACCCGCAAGACCTATTGGGACTGGGAAACAGACCTCACAATGGAAAGTAATTTCTGGGAAACTCTCACAGTTAGAGTCTCGGCGCAGGAGAGGAGGGATATGGATAGGCCAATAACGGCAGAGGAGCTCAGGGAAACCATCAAATCCATGGCAAAAGGGAAAGCGCCAGGAGACGATGGCTTACCGGTAGAATTCTTCCAGACCTGTTGGGGGACTTTGGAAACCGATGTGGTGCAGCTGTTTAACGGGATCCTGACAGGCGGGAAGCTGGGGAAGTCAATGACGAGGGGAGTAATCACCTTAATGTACAAGAAGGGAGGTAGATCGGACATGAGAAACTGGCGACCAATTTCGCTCCTAAATGTGATCTACAAGATACTGGCGAAGACCTTGGCACGTAGACTGGGTGAATTGTTGCCTAGGCTAGTGGGAAAGGACCAGGGGGCCTTTGTCCAGGGTCGCTCCATATTCGAGAATATTGCAACAGCAATGGAAGCGCTGGAGTTAATCGAAGGGGAGGACCTCGATATTGCAGTTTTGATGATCGACCTCGAAAAGGCGTACGATCGGCTGAATTGGACGTTCGTAATGACTACTCTCAGAGTGCTGGGGTTTGGAGACCCATTGTGCAGCTGGATTAAGGCACTATATGCGTACGCTACAACAGTTGTGCAGGTGAACGGGGTCTGCTCTCAGGAGTTCAAACTGTCTAGGTCGCTACGGCAGGGATGCCCCCTGGCACCTCTTGTTCGTCCTGCAGTTGGAAGTACTGCTGTGCGCCATCAGAGCCAACCCGTATATCAGAGGTCTGAAACTGACAGGGGGAAGGGACTATAGAATTAAAGCGCTTGCAGACGACCTCCTGGCTATTGCGGCCAACTCTAGAGACTCTCTGGAAGCTCTACGGGCCAGCTTGCAAAAGTTTGAAGATTTGTTGGAAGCAGCAATAAATTGGAATAAATCCAATTTCTTTCTCCCAGAAGCGTACCAGCTCCAAGCACATTGGGGTATGAAGAGGGTCCCAGTGAATGCAGCAGAACGGTTCCTGGGGGTCTTAGTAGCACTTGAAGACTGCTCCTCAGCGCAAAATCTTCTCCTGTAAGAGAGAGTCGGAAATAGAATTAAGAGCTGGGGGAGGGCGTCTCACCTATCTCTGATGGGTAGGGGCTTGGTTACCACAGTTTCAGCATTCTCACTACTGTGGTACGTACTCAGGGTATGCAAACTCTCGAATGCAGCACTCAAGAACATTAGAGTCCAGGACAATTCATCAACCGCCTCGTTGAACTGTCCTTCGACATGCTTAAACCACCACTACCTCCAAGCTTGTTTTTGGCAAGGTGGAGTAGAACTGCACGCCAAGCTTTGTCGAAGTGCCAACCTGACCTTTTTTCTTTGGTTTCGGTTGGCGCTGTCAACCTTTTTGGTATAGTGGGGCCCGACCTCCGAAGAATGCGATATAGGTTATATTCACGACTTAGGGTCAGATCCCACTAGCCCCTATTGTTCATTTTTGACCCTTGATCTTCGTAATCGAGGGTGAAAATGAATAATCCAGGGTAGTGGGATCTGACCCTTAGCCTTCCACTTTGAAAGGTAATGGTGGTTTAAACCGCCATTTCACGGCCCCACCCTAGCAGAACATGTTTTGTCACTCACTCCAAAATTTTCGCACCTCAGGCTTACCGGACCATGATGGCCGGCGGCACCAGCCAAAAAAAAAAGTAAAATAATAAACAATTTAAAAAAAAAAAAAAAAAGGAAGGTGCGTCGCTGGGGGTTCGAAAAAGTTTGGCACGGGCTACCGAGTTCGGGGGGGCTGCGCGAGAGTGCGCTAACGCAGCGGTGATAGCGGCGCCCGGTCGTCGTTAGTCGTGGCTGAGTAGGTGTTGTATTTGAGCGTTGTGGGTTTTTCATCTTTCCCACGTGGCGCCTACCCTGCCAGGCACCAAGTTGTGTGGGAGCTATGGCGACAGTGCCCTGGCGTAGCCTAGCCCTTGAGTGGGTAGGGAGTGCCTTTGCACTCTTACGCCAAGGCATCCTGGCAGCCGCGTATCTGACCTGTATACCAACCTTTATACCAATCTAACACCTATGAAGCCATTGACATCAGAGGAGTCGTCCTCCCCATAAACCTTTAGTTGCAGGGGGACCTCCTTTTTCACCATTTATTGGCAACGCCTTATTTGATTACACGCCATATCGACTGTCAAGTTTTTATAGTACTCAAGTCCTTCGGAGTTTTGATGAAGACCAGCTACAGCGCCAGCGGAGGCAGTGGGAGAGCTTACGTTGGTGGTGAGACTGTTGCCGGCACTGCCAAGGGTAAAAGGAGTTTTAGTCTGTATTTGGCAATGAAGGCGGTGATATTCTTCATTTGCACTCCAATAAGAAGTGGATATGTAGGGTAATGTTAGGATTTTCTCCTTTGTTTGTTTGACCACAAGTTGGACATGGATGGCGTTTTGGGTAATACTAGTAGCGGTGTTGCCGAAGCAGTGTGAATGCGAGAGGTGGCAGTGGGAGCGCTCCTGGTTAGGTAACAGGAGAAACAAGGGGGAGCAAACTTGAGCTGTACCCATTGAGATCGTTATACCTGTCGAGATTCAGGGGTGCGTGGTGGGAGACCCGTCATGGCAGCTCAGGCTCTTCGGGGTTTGTGCATAGTAAGGAGGAAGATGTCTTATGCAGCCTGTGGACGCTTTAGGGTTAGATTGGGGGTAGTCTTTATGTTGTACGATGGTACGGTAGTTATGTTGCGAATTTTCAGAAGCATATGTCCATTCATAGATTCTCGATATTCTTAAACGCCAGGGCATGTCTGCAGTGGTTTAGGGTGATACTCACAGGGTTGGGATGATAGGAGAGACCCGGTGAAGAGGAAACTAGAGTTGTATCCATTGGGTGCGTGGTGGGAAACCCGTCTAGGCAACAAAGGTTCCTCACAGTGTTTTGGATAGTGAGGATGAGAGGGTAACCCTAATGCTTATTTCCCCCCCAGCTCTTAGTTGGTGAGATTGTTCAGCTAGTTTGATATTTTGTAGATTTTCGAAACTTCGATTGTCGTAAAGCCCTGAAGCCCCATGGGAGGTGGCGCCATCAACGGTGTCGAGCGCATCGGTCCGGCACCGCACAAGGCAGCGCGGGACCCTCCCGACCGCGTCACGCAGGAGTTAGTTTGAATCCCCGTCACGAATGTACATGGAGCTTCCGCAAGCTGCTCCGGCCGAGTGCGCCAGCCATACCTCTCGCGAGCCCCTACGACAGGACAGGGCTTACGCGCGGCACGACTTACCTCCACCTTACGGGAGTTGTCACCTCCCTTTGGTGGGCATATCCCCGCCGAGCTACCAGTCCACAGTACGAAAGCTGATCAGTTGTAATCGCAGAGGTGGATCAACCGATGACGTTTCTCGTTCGCTGTAGCATAGTAGGGGGTACGCGCGATAGTATGCCTCTATCGGACCCGCACGCGAACTGGCATCTTGGGGGGCTGAGGTCCCAGGCGCGACTCGGCGTCGGTCGACTAGGACGCACCCCACTTACCATGCATACACCACACTTTGAACACAAAAAAATAAAACACACACACAGACACCTCAAACAACGTGACAACACTCCTAGTCCCTTAGTATCCATCCCATAACTTTCCGATGCGGAAATCGAATAGGCGTTGCGCGTGAGACTTAGTATAAAACTGCGCGGACGTAGGGCTAACTCGTATCGATTCGCAATGCAAGCGGTCGCAATGATGGCGTACTGTGTAGTACCCATACTCATGTGGTCCTCGCTAATCTCGAGGGTCACATTCGACACTCAAGTGTCGGCTGATATGCGCCTTGAGGGTTAATCTCTCGACGCTGGACAACCGCCAAGTGCAGTTGAAAACCACACCCTCTTCTGCACCCTGCGGAGAGTGGGTGGTACACAGGTTCATACCTGTGGTAGCAATCGTCTTTTATGGCCCTGGAGACCAGCTTCATCACCTAGGGCTCGAAAAGAAGTTAAGGGGTTTGACTTTGACAGCTGCCACGGACTACAACGTCCAACTATCATAACTCTTAAAAAGCAAAAATCGCAACCTTGGGTGACCTTTTCAATTGGTACCAGCGGCTTATACCGATTTTAAACACTCATGCATATGTACGAATCCTTTGATCTCATAACTCTAGACACTTGGACGGCGAAACGTCGCGCGCAGGATTTGAATATAAAGTTGCGCGGTTGCAAGCCTGTCCTACACCAACCGGCGATGCTAGTCTTACGTGGTAATCGCAGTTTCGGCCTCGCGATATTGAATGGTTGAAGGAATATATCGTGAGGGGTTACCCTTCACGATATTGAACGGCTGAAGGACATGTCGTTCAACCCTCGCGACATTTCTACCCTTAAGGTTGAGTGTCCTGATGGGCAGGGCAGATAGGTTGTGCGCAAGGGAAGGTTCCTTCTCTGCAGAGTCTAGGGCCTGGGGTGTCTTGGACAAGGACCTCGAATCCAGACCTAGGACTAACGTTCAACTAAGAAATCCCTGAGAAGCATACAACGATATAAAGGGGGGTTTCTTTCCTCTTCCGGACCCAACCCTGATTTTTACCCTTATGCGAGGCCCACTCAGGCCATGCGAACACTTAATATAAATACACACATATATTGGGGGTAAATACGTGACGACCACTTATCACAGTCACAGTGAGACTCCTCACAACCATATGTATACGTGCGATCGCAGGTAGTCAAATCCAAAATCCAAATCACAAAACATATCTGCAATCACATCAAAGAGTCAAACAAGAGTCCATGCACTACACCGAGTCAACCCCAACCACTCTCTATACTCATACCCCTCGCTTTAGCTATGCAAGCCTCAGCCTCCTGTCCAACCAAACAAAATTAAGTACTCAGTACCTTCGTTAAATGGCCATTCAATCAAAGTCCGGGTGAAACCTTAACAAAACAATAAAATCACCAGGGCTAAAGCCTTTTAGGTTGAGTATTGAGGGTGAATTGAAATTGAGTCGTAAACCGACGAATCGGCAACCGACATGTTATCAGTGATAACAGAAAGTGACCCTCAAGGGATCAAGCTGAGTCTAGTCCAAGTCCTGAATCAAATCGATTACGACGACCTGTAACACGAGATAGGTCAATGCCCAAGACTAGACCTATGAGTCCATGGGGGATAATCTCCATATCATAATCTCACTCAAATCATCCTATTTAACTAAGCCTAGGACTACCTCTAAGCAAGTGTCAGAGAAAAGGTAGACCTTTGGCAGAATCTCCTCTATACAGAGTGGATTGCCAAAAACTGTCACCTGTCAAAATATAATCTAACTCCTTTAAACTAAGAAAATTTTGGCAGCGCTTCCCGTAAGAAAAATGTCTTTTCAGAACTTATATAAGTCCAAACATGAAAACAAAAATAGTCTTTGACTGCCCAAAGTCAAATTTTGTCTAACTTCATGAATTAGCAAAAATTTGGGCAGCACTCCCTTTAGGAAAGGAAACTTCCCAGATTTTTACTAGGCGATGTATGAAAGTCAGACAAGTTTGAACTTTGGAAAGCCAAACTTTAACTAACTCATTGGATTTGCATAAATTTCGGCAGCGCTTTCCATAGGAAAAACGGCTTACCAAAATTTATACAAGCCCAAGTACAATAAATGATTTCAGAAAATGCAGAAATTGATATAAGTAAAAAAAACTATCACAGAAAATGCAGGAATTAAATCTAACTCCTATCGCTCTAGCACGTGGCGAGCCACTAAAGTGACAACCTATCAAACTGAAACTCATACTAGGTAGTAATCTCACTCAGTCACATGCAAGCCAAACCACAAGGGTAAGTACTCTCACCAACCCACATAACCTTTAGCAAACAATAAC